ACAGAGAGACATACACACAGAGACACAGGGACACCACGCAGAGACAGAGACACGGGGACAGCACGCAGACACACAGAGACACAGACACCACAGACCAAGAGACACCACAGACCCTGAGACACCACAGACACAGAGACACGGAGACACCACACAGACACACAGATACACCACAGAGACACCATAGAGACACCACAGAGACACGCAGACACAGACACACCACAGAGATACCACAGAGACACAGACAGAGACACAGACACAGAGAGACACAGAGACACACAGAGACAGAGAGACACAGATACACGGGGACAGCACGCAGAGATACAGACACAGAGAGACACACAGAGATACACACTGAGAGACACCACAGACACACAGAGACACCACAGACACAGAGACACCACAGACACAGAGAGACATCACAGAGACACAGACACACACAGAGACACATAGACACCACAGAGACACCACAGAGACATGGACATGGAGACACCACGGAAACACAGCGACACCACAGAGACACAGAGACACAGAGACAGACATATAGACACATAGACATATATACACCACAGAGACACAGAGACACCACAGAGACATGGACATGGAGACACCACAGAGACACAGACACCACAGAGACACAGAGACACAGAGACAGACATATAGACACATAGACATATATACACCACAGAGACATAGAGACACCACAGAGACATGGACATGGAAACACCACAGAGACACAGACACAGAGACACAGACACCACAGAGACACATACACAGGAACACCACATAGACACAGAGACACCACAGAGACACATCGACACAGAGACAGACATATAGACACATAGACATATATACACCACAGAGACACATCGACACAGAGACAGACATATAGACACATAGACATATATACACCACAGAGACATAGAGACACCACAGAGACACAGAGACACCACAGAGACACATCGACACAGAGACAGACATATAGACACATATACATATATACACCACAGAGACACATCGACACAGAGACAGACATATAGACACATAGACATATATACACCACAGAGACATAGAGACACCACAGAGACACAGAGACACAGAGACACCACAGAGACACAGACACAGGAACACCACATAGACACAGAGACACCACAGAGACACATCGACACAGAGACAGACATATAGACACATAGACATAGATACACCACAGAGACATAGACATAGAGACACCACAGAGACACAGAGACATAGATACACCACAAAGATGGAGAGACCACATGGACACCATAGACAGAGACACAGAGACACCACATATACAACAGGGAGATACCACAGAGACATCACGGACGCACATAGACACACACATCGGGACACCACAGGGCAAGGTTGTAGCCATGAAGTCAACATATGGAGGGGGGGACCAAATCTTCCAGGGGCCTGGGGGTCCCAACCCAGAAAAATATCTACATTTGAAAACTCATCTCCTGCCTAAAATATTTAAACATTCACTAACGCATGGGATGGACTTTTGTTATTTACAATAATGTCTAAGAGTGTATTGTATTACATTGCTCTGTTTTTATTTATTTTTTTACCATTTCTTGTTTCATTGTATGTAATGGCAGAGATTAGGGATTCATAAAGTACAACCATAACCACAATCATATTAACAGAAATCTATGCATTGATTTGTATGAAGAAAAGTCCAGATATTGTGGCCAAGGTTTAGCACAAATTGTTCTTTTTATTTACATAGCACAGCAATACATTTTTATAGCAAAATATTGTGGGGGGGGGGGCATGTGTCCCCCCCCAATATATATAATTACGGCCTTGCCACAGCGACATCATAGAAGCACATATACACAGACATAAAGACACCACAGAGACACCACAGAGACATAGACACACCACAGATACACAGAGACACCACAGAAGCACATAGACACAGACATAAAGACACCACAGAGACACCACAGAGACATAGACACACCACAGATACACAGAGACACCACAGAAGCACATAGACACAGACATAAAGACACCACAGAGACACCACAGAGACATAGACACACCACAGATGCACAGAGACACCACAGAAGCACATAGACACAGACATAAAGACACCACAGAGACACCACAGAGACAGACACCTCACAGATACACAGAGACACCACAGATGCACATAGACACAGACATAAAGACACCACAGAGACACCACAGAGACATAGACACACCACAGATACACAGAGACACCACAGATGCACATAGACACAGACACCACAGAGACATACGTAGAGACAAAATTATAATTATTATATTACAACAAGCATAATGATCATTATACTAATTATATTAATGATGATTATCATTGCATGGCGTTCACTCATTCGCCCCCATTCATTCGATGCATCGTCATTCGCTGTCATCAGTGTCACTTTAACCGATGTGACGAATCATCACATATTTGCTTCCTCTCGTTTCTTTCATTCGCCTCCACTCCACCACCGCCGTCACATTCGCATGTAGAAGCGACGTTCGTTCTGTCTAAAAAATTAACCCGTAAAAACTAAGTTTTTCACTCTAAATCCTTTATATGCGTGGCGGCTAGAGTCCTCTCGTCCTCTGGCTTGAGATGGCTGCCACCTATGGGTCAGATGATTGCCTGCCAGCATTAAGCAATTGGTAATTAAATATTGAAATTTTTTCCCTAAACGGTGTAAAACTTTGGAAAAAAATTTTCACGAAAATTAATTGTCACGCACAACGAGTCTGTGTGGAAAATGTCAGCTCGATTGGATCACGGGAAGTGTGTTAAAAAACGACCGAAAGATTTGCACGGTCGTGAGCAAGCAAGCAAGCAAGCGAACTTAATATAACGGATCTAAAAAGCGCCTTGGTTCAGGCGTCGTCGTGAATTATTTTAACATGAGAACAGAACAACGCTGCGCTGATGCGGTGCCGACATCTGATTTGCTTATTGTGTTGCGACTTTATTCCAGTAAAGGGCACTGCTTAGCTCAGCGGTGCTTAAACCTTTACTGCAACCTTGCTCCCCCATTTGGCTGTCAACCGTTAATGTATAATGGAAATGTATAATGTTAATGTATAATGTTAATGTATAATGTTAATGTATAATGTTAATGTATAATATTAATGTATAATGTTAATAACAACGTAGGTTCCATTTAAAGCTTTCGTGATTGCAGGGATTAATCTTCTTGGTTCTTTAAATATACGCTGCCAAGCTTGGTGGTGTTCATTCAGACGCTGTCTTTCCGACAGACCTGTTTGTTCTTCACCTGAGGACGGCTGCTTGCGTTGTGGCCGAAACGTCGTGAGAATTGTATTTTATTATGTTTTATTTTTATTATTTTATTATTTCCCTTCTACGTGACTTTACCGAAAGAACCAAGAAGAACAACGTAGGTGTTTGATGAAACGAAGTCAGTTGTAGATACGTGGCCGTGCTTAATTTTGCGTATCCACCATCCTAGATTTGAAGTTTTCCTGACTGCAAGGATCTAAAAACTCTTTGGTTCTTTCGGTAAAGTCACGTGGGAAAATAATAATAAATGAAATAAAAAAGAAAACATAAAAGTAAATAAAAGTAAATAAAATCACGACATTTCGATTGCAACACAAGCAATCATCATCAGCTGTGAAAATTTGAAAAAAATGTTTCTAGCTGTGATTTTCATACCTGATGATGATTGCTTGTGTTGCAATCGAAACGTCGTGATTTAATTTACTTTAATTTACTTGTATTTATTAATATTTTATTAATTATTTTTTACCTACGTGACTTTACCGAAAGAACCAAAGAGTATGTAGCTACCATCATTAAGTAGGTCCTGAATGTTGTTATTGTACGTGCTTTTGTCCATGATGACCGTGGCATTGCCCTTGTCGGCTGAGAAGATGACGATGTCATCCCTCTTTTTAAATCCTTTATATTAAGTTCGCTTGCTTGCTTAGGACCATGCAAATCTTTTGGTCGTTTTTTAACCCACTTCCCGTGATCCAATCGAGCTGACATTTTCCACACAGACTCGTTGTGCGTGGCAATTAATGTTTGTGAAATTTTTTTTCCAAAATGTTACACTTTTTAGGACAAAAATATTATATTTAATTACCAATTGCTTAATGATGCAATGCAATAATCTGACCCATAGGTGGCAGCCATCTCAAGCCAGAGGACGAGAGGACTCTAGCCGCCACGCATATAAAGGATTTATAGTGAAAAACTTTGTTTTTACGGGTTATACTTGTTTTATTTGAAATCGCTCAACACGTTCATCCTTAAATTTCAATTTAAAGCTTTCGTGACTGCAGGGATTCATCTTCTTGGTTCTTTCGGTAAAGTCACGTAGCTTGGTGGTGTTCATTCAGACGCTGTCTTTCCGACAGACCTGTTCTTCACCTGCGCTGCTTGCGTTGTGGCCGAAACGTCGTGAGAATTTTATTTTATTATGTTTGATTTCTATTATTTTATTATTTCCAAGAAGACGTTCATCCTTACTGATGTTGCTCATTGGTGTCTCGGCGTTTTTGAGCATTGCAGCAATTTCCGATTTTGCTACGTTTGCAGCGATGTGTCCCAAACCCTTCAGGGCTACATCAGCATGGACAATTATATCAGCCACCGTGTTTAGGGGTAACTGCAAAGTTCAACCCTTGAGCCAAAATCGATTTCAGGCGGTCGGAAATTGGACTGTTACTCAGATTAATAATAACATTGTCAACGTCTAACTTTGTAACGTGTTGACCTGGCACCGACCTCGACGCGGCGGCGGCTCTGAGATCTGACCTTAACATGCTAATTTATCACATTAACAACATGCTAATTTCTCACAATAACATGCTAACTTCTCACATTAACATGCTAATTTCTCACATTAACATCATGCTAATTTCTCACATTAACATGCTAATTTCTCATATTAACATCATGCTAATTTCTCACATTAACATGCTAATTTCTCACATTAACAGCACGCTAATCTCTCACATTAACATCATGCTAATTTCTCACATTAACATCACGCTAATTTCTCACATTAACATCACGCTAATTTCTCACATTAACATGCTAATTTCTCACATGAACATCACACTAATTTCTCACATTAACATCACGCCAATTTCTCACATTAACATGCAAATTTCTCACTTGAACATCGTGATAATTTCTCACATTAACATGCTAATTTCTCACGTTAAATAATGCACATTTCGCACATTAACATGCTCATTTCTCACATTTGCATGCTAATTTCTCACATTAACATCACGCTAATTTCTGACATTAACATGCTAATTTCTCACGTGAACATCATGATAATTTTTCACACAAACATGCAAATTTCTCACGTTAATGAAAATTTCTCACGTTAATGAAAATTTCTCACATCAAAATGCTAATTTCTCACATTAACATCATGCTAATATCTCACATTAACATGCTAACTTCTCAATTAACATGCTAATTTCTCACATTAACATGCTAATTTCTCACGTTAAATAATGCAAATTTCGCACATTAACATGCTAATTTCTCACATTTGCATGCTATTTTCTCACAGTAACATCATGCTAATTTCTCACATAAACATGCTAATTTATCACGTTAAAATCATGCTAATGTCTCACATTAACATGCTAACTTCTCACATTAACCTGCTAATTTCTCATATAAACATGAATTCCTGCAGTCACGAAAGCTTTAAGTCAAGATTTATATACTACATACTACACACTGCACCACACTACTATACACTATGCTATACACTACTCTATACACTACTATACACTACACTACTATACACTAGACACTACTAAACACTACACTACTATACACTACGCTATACACTACACTATACACTACTATACACTACACTACTATACACTAGACACTACTAAACACTACACTACTATACACTATGCTATACACTACTCTATACACTACTATACACTACACTACTATACACTAGACACTACTAAACACTACACTACTATACACTACACTATACACTATACTATACACTACTATACACTACACTATACACTACACTATTATACACTACACTACTAAACACTACGCTATACACTACACTATACACTACTATATGCTAGACACTACTATACCCTTCGCTATACACTACACTATACACTACTATACACTACACTACTAAAAACAATCTGTCCATGTCACGCAACCCTCAGGGGCTTGCGTGCACCACAGGTTAAGAAGAATAAGAAGAGCCACCCGTGTAGGCAAAGCACCCTCTCGTTAGCGACTCTTGGGAAAGAACCCGAACTTCTGCTGCCGCTGCTACCGCTGTTGCTGCTGCTGCTCCTGCTGCTGCCGCTGCTACCGCTGTTGCTGCTGCTGCTGCTGTTGCTGCTGCTGCTCCTGCTGCTGCCGCTGCTACCGCTGCTGCTGCTGCTGCTCCTGCTGCTGCTGCCGTTGCTGCCGCTGCTGCCGCTGCTGCTGCCGCTGCTCCTGCTGCTGCTGCTACCGCTGCTGCTGCTGCTCCTGCTGCTGCTGCTGCCGTTGCTGCCGCTGCTGCCGCTGCTGTCGCTGCTGCCGCTGCTGTCGCTGCTGCTGCTGCTACCGCTGCTGCTGCTGCCGCTGCTCCTGCTGCTGCTGCTACCGCTGTTGCTGCTGCTGCTCCTGCTGCTGTCGCTGCTGCTGCCGCTGCTACCGCTGCTACCGCTGCTGCCGCTGCTGCTGCTGCTCCTGCTGCTGCTGCCGTTGCTGCCGCTGCTGCCGCTGCTGCTGCCGCTGCTCCTGCTGCTGCTGCTACCGCTGCTGCTGCTGCTCCTGCTGCCGTTGCTGCCGTTGCTGCCGCTGCTGCCGCTGCTGTCGCTGCTGCCGCTGCTGTCGCTGCTGCTGCTGCTACCGCTGCTGCTGCTGCCGCTGCTACCACTGCCACTGCTACCGCTGCTGCTGCTGCTGCTGTCGCTGCTGCCGCTGCCTTGCTGCGCCGTCCTTCCTGCGATTGTCGCTCCGCCGTTGACGGATTTCCGTTGCCGCGGCAGACAGGAACGTGACGTTGAGGAGCCTCGTGCTGTGCCACAGTGTCGCCTGGAACGCCACCACACGGAGCCGGAGATCTCACCAAAACCCAGCCGATCGCACCACGCGGAGCCGGAGATGTCACCGGCACCCGGCTAAGGAGACCACGTGAAGACGGAGATCTCACCAGAACTCAGCTGACGCATCACGCGGAGCCGGAGATCTCACCAGAACCCAGCCCACGGCTTAGCGACCAACGCGGCACACCTTCCGTTGAGCCGCAGTTGGCTCCGTACGGCGCGAAAGACAGAGGTTCAACTCTACGCGCGTTAACATCGCAGCTCGCCACAAGCCAAGGAAGCTGCCACAGCTGTCCACGGCTGTCCACGGCTGTCCACGGCTGTCAACAGGCCTTGCCGCCCCCACGCTCGCGCCCCCAAAGAAACTTTCAAGACGTCTCCTGCCCCCCGTTAAACCTCGACCGCGGCTGGCGAGTGCGAGCGAGTTGCCGTGCGGGCGAGCGGGCGAGTCGATTTGTGAACATTTTGTGAGCGGGTGAATGGGTCGGGCGAGCGAGCGACTGAGGAAGTTAGCGAGTGCGTGAGCAGGTGAGTGAGCGACCAAGTGGGAGTTCACGAGCGAGCAAATCGAGAGAGTGCGTGAGAGAGCATGCGAATGAATGAGTTGTCGACTGAGCGAACGAGCGAGTGTGTATGAGAGTGAGCAAGTGAGCGAGTGAGCAATCGAGCGAGTGTGTGAGTGTGCGAGCGAACAAACGACTGAGCGAGCGAGCGAGGAGCTCCATCACCACCGGTGAGGTCTTGCGTCCCGGCGGGAACCGTGGTTGTTCGCGATGCCGCGCCGTGCCGCGTGGGCCGGGCTGCAGCTGCTGCTGCTGGTGGCGGCCGTGCCGCTGCAGACGCTCATCGTGCAGTGGAGCGGCAACAACGCCTTCCAGAGGCTGCACGCCATGCGCTGGTAACGCACCATGCACCACGCAACATGCACCACTCACCACGCATGCACCATGCACACAGCACTCACCATGCACACAGCACTCACCACGCACCACTCACCACGCATGCACCATGCACACAGCACTCACCATGCACACAGCACTCACCATGCACACAGCACTCACCATGCACCACTCACCACGCATGCACCATGCACACAGCACTCACCATGCACACAGCACGCACCACGCACCACGCACCACTCACCACGCACCACTCACCACGCACCACTCACCACGCACCACTCACCACGCACCACTCACCACGCATTCACCATGCACACAGCACTCGCCACGCATGCCGCACGCACCATGCACGCAACACGCACGCACGCAACACGCACGCCGCACGCACCACGCGCGACCCACGACCCCCCTGCCCCGACACCCGGGCACCACTCAACTCAAAACTACAGACAGTCCCGACAGCGATACGAGAAAATTGTAATATATTTTAAATTTCGCGCGGCAGGCAAACGCAGCAGCGTACGAGGTGCGATGCTGTACGTTGGGACGCTGCCGGGATGTTACGCATCTGCCGCCTTTCTATTAAATTGCAGTTCATAGAGGTAGGCTAAGAATTGACCTTGTTTTTTTTTTACTTGACATTTTATATAGTTTATACAGTACGGTACTGTTAATTGCTCTGTTTTGCTAAATTATCACCATTCTTTAAGGCTCCTGGGTAGGCTAGGCCATCTTCGACTTACGATATTTTTGACTTACGATGGGGTCGTCGTAACGCATCTCCATCGTAAGTCGAGGACTACCTACATGGTGTAGTGAGAGTCGTAAGTCGGGGACTACCTACATGGTGTAGTGAGAGTCGTAAGTCGGGGACTATCTACATGGTGTAGTGAGAGTCGTAAGTCGGGGACTACCTACATGGTGTAGTGAGAGTCGTAAGTCGGGGACTATCTGTACATGGGGGTGTAGTGAGAGTCGTAAGTCGAGGACTATCTGTACATGGTTGTGTAGTGAGGGTCGTAAGTCGAGGACTACATGTACATGTTGGTGTACTGAGAGTCGTAAGTCGAGGACTATCTGTACACGGTGTAGTGAGAGTCGTAAGTCGAGGACTACCTGTACATGGTGGTGTAGTGGGAGTCGTAAGTCGAGGACTACCTGTACATGGCGGTGTAGTGTTAGTCGTAAGTCGGGGACTAGCTGTACATGTTGGTGTAGTGAGAGTCGTAAGTCGAGGACTATCTGTACACGGTGTAGTGAGAGTCGTAAGTCGAGGACTACCTGTACATGGTGGTGTAGTGGGAGTCGTAAGTCGAGGACTACCTGTACATGGCGGTGTAGTGTTAGTCGTAAGTCGGGGACTAGCTGTACATGGTGGTGTACTGAGAGTCGTAAGTCGAGGACTATCTGTACACGGTGTAGTGAGAGTCGTAAGTCGAGGACTACCTGTACATGGTGGTGTAGTGGGAGTCGTAAGTCGAGGACTACCTGTACATGGCGGTGTAGTGTTAGTCGTAAGTCGGGGACTAGCTGTACATGGTGGTGTACTGAGAGTCGTAAGTCGAGGACTATCTGTACACGGTGTAGTGAGAGTCGTAAGTCAAGGACTACCTGTACATGGTGGTGTAGTGGGAGTCGTAAGTCAAGGACTACCTGTACATGGCGGTGTAGTGATAGTCGTAAGTCGGGGACTAGCTGTACATGTTGGTGTAGTGAGAGTCGTAAGTCGGGGACTAGCTGTACATGGCGGTGTAGTGAGAGTCGTAAGTCGGGGACTAGCTGTACATGGCGGTGTAGTGAGAGTCGTAAGTCGGGGACTAGCTGTATGGTGGTGTTGTGAGAGTCGTAAGTCGGGGACTACATGTGTATGATGTAGTGAGAGTCGTAAGTCGAGGACTACCTACATGGCGTAGTGAGAGTCGTAAGTCGGGGACTGGCTGTATATGGTGATGTAGTGAGAGTCGTAAGTCGAGGACTGTCTGTACTTTTTATTTCACCGGCTGTAAGGCCCTACTTAGCTGTGTGGCTCTTTTTTCAGAAGTGACCTGGTGATCACAAACGATTGCTCAACAAAGTGGGCTCATCGTCATCACCATCGTCGCGTGGACATTTTTAGGAACAGTCAAATAATACAAACGTTGATTCTAAAATGTGAAGGGGAAAAAATCGGAGGACCCGGGGAGAGAGACACGCAAACTCCCCGTACACAAAGCAGGTGTCAGGGTCGGGATGGTACCCACGACCTCCTGTGTACCAGGCGAGGTAGTTAACATCTCCTAGCCACCGTGATGATGATGATGAGAGAGAGACACGCAAACTCCAAATATACAGCAGCAGGCGTCAGGGTCGTGATCGAACCCACGACCTCCTGTATACCAGGCGAGGTAGTTAACATCTAGCCACCGTGATGATGATGATGAGAGAGAGAGAGACACGCAAACTTCACATACACAAAGCAGGCGTCAGGGTCGGGATGGAACCCACGACCTCCTGCGTACCAGGCGGGGCTCTTGACGCTTTCGCCAAATCCTCCGTGTCCTCCGGCGTGGCGCGTAGCAGTGACGGGCAACTTCGGTCGGAATTGATAAACGTTGCCAACTCGCTAAACGCACGGTAGCCCACTCGCAAGGTAGTCCACTCGCACGCCGTACCCGTTGCGGTGTGTAAAACGTGAGCGGCATCGGTGGCGGTGGTGCAGCAGCACGGCGCCGGCCGTGGTGCCGGCCGCTCGCCCTCGGTGCGCCGTCGTGCCGGCCTCGGCGGGCGCTCGACCACCCCAAGAGAATTCTCACGCGGCGGCGGTGGTGAGGGTCTTTGCGTTGTCGCCTCGCCAGGCTCACGGAGGAGTTGGGGGGGCTGCAGCAGCGACTGCTGAGACCGGTGCCGTGGCTGTCGTGGGCACGCGGCTTGGTGCGGCACGCGCGGTGAGAGCCGCCACCCCCCCCACCGCCACGCGCACACACACAGCCCCAGTGTTGATGACGCCGACGATTGTGATGGCGCCGGTGGTGCCGGTGGTGTTGACGGTGGTGATGATGGTGGTGATGATGGTGGTGATGATGGTGGTGATGATGGTGGTGTTGACGGTGGTGATGATGGTGGTGATGATGGTGGTGATGATGGTGGTGATGATGGTGGTGTTGACGGTGGTGGTGATGGTGGTGTTGACGGTGGTGATGATGGTGGTGATGATGGTGGTGATGATGGTGGTGATTATGGTGGTGATGATGGTGGTGATGACGGTGGTGTTGACGGTGGTGATGACGGTGGTGATGATGGTGGTGATTATGGTGGTGATGATGGTGGTGATGATGGTGGTGTTGATGGTGGTGATGATGGTGGTGTTGATGGTGGTGATGATGGTGGTGTTGATGGTGGTGTTGATGGTGGTGTTGATGGTGGTGATGGTGGTGGTGGTGATGGTGGTGGTGGTGATGGTGGTGGTGATGGTGGTGGTGATGGTGGTGTTGATGGTGGTGGTGATGGTGGTGGTGATGGTGGTGATGATGGTGGTGATGATGGTGGTGCCGGTGGTGTTGACGGTGGTGATGATGGTGGTGTTGATGGTGGTGATGGTGGTGGCAGCACGGCGCTGGGTGAGGAGGAAGAGGAGGATGCGATGGGGGAGTGCGCTGCCTTGGAAGTTCTTCGGCTGGAGGAGATAGACGGACACTTTGCCAGTAAAACGCATGCGCACACGCACGCACACACGCACACGTTTATGCACGCATGCACACACGTGTGCACACATACGCATACGCACGTGTACGCACGCACACACACGTGCCTATGAGTGTGCACGCACTCGCGCGCGCACACACCTGCATACAAAGCAATGAACCCCCGTGTAGCCTTAACAGACTGTAGGGGCAAGTGCTGTTAGCGAGTAGCAGCTATGAAGGCCGGAATGATGTACGAGAGGGTGGGTGGCCAGCACCACGCCCGACCGCCTTTGTCTCCCCTGTGGCGATGTTTACACACCGCACCGGGTACTCATTTGAGGCCGAGTCGACCTAGGGGAGGCCCAGGACCGGTTCAGATAATCGTCACTGGGTGTTGGCCGTGAGCGGAAATCGAACTCGGGTCGCCGGGTTCGTAGCACAGCGTAGCGCTAACCGCTACACCACCGCTCCCCACGAACGAACACACGCGCACACACACACGTGTCCCCTTCCGTTTCTCATCTCCACGCTTCTCCGCATGTCTTTGCATGTCTCCGCGTGCGTGTGCGTGACGCTGAGTGCATCTCCATGTGTCTCCGCGTGTCTCCGCGTGCGTGCGTGTGTGTGCGTGTGTGTGCGTGACCCTCCGTGCCCCCCAGCCTCGGTGTCGGTGCGCTCCCCGCGCCCCCCCCGCGTCTCGTTCCGCGTGGGCCAGGTGGTCCGGCACCGGCACGCCGGCTTCACCGGCGTCATCATTGGCTGGGACGCGCGCACACACGCACCCCACGACTGGATGCAGCGCTCACACCGCGGGGTCAGTCACGCACACGCACACATACATACACACACACACATACACACACACACACACATACACACACATACACACACATACAACAACAACAACAACAACCGCCATTCGCCACTAAGTGGCGGTGACGTCACCACGATGCTTGTGCCAGGCCAAGTGCACCTTGAGGCCACGTGAAGTGTCGAAAGCCCGCTGGCAGGAGGTCACGGGGCAGACCCAGGTGCCACGGGTCGACTGACCGAGATGACCGAGATGACTGGCTGATGCACCACCTGTGCCCCCTACTGTGCCAACTTGCTGTGCTTTAACCACCCGGCGCTCCGCTCGTTGTTGTGAGCGTCGCTCCTCCGCCCTCCGTTGTTGTTGGAGGGCGACTGCCTCCAACTGCCCAGTAGCGTCCTTCACGAGCCTCCTCCACTGAGGCCGATCTTGACACCGCTGGTACAAGTCATCGGCAAGTCCACTCAGCTCCACGTCCTCCTGTACCACATCACTCCATCTCTTCTCCAGCCCGTGCCGCGCCCGTCTAGCCCCCTCGATCCGGCCGAACAAAAGCTGTTTAGGCATGCGGTGGCTGGGCATGCGGGCTACATGACCCAGCCAACGCAGCCTTGCCTGCCGGAGGAGCTCACTGATGGGACTTTGCCCAGATCTTTCAAGGATTTGTGAGCTCCTCACACAATCCAGCCTGGTTAAACCCAGGATGGATCGTAGGCAGGCCAGCCTAAATGTTTCCAACCGGCGAAGATGCTCCACCAGGGGGGTCCACGTCTCGCAAGCGTAGAGAAGGGAGGGAATGACCGTGGCCGAGAAGACCTGAAGCTTCGTGCGGAGCGACAGACCAGGTAGCTTCCACACAGCGTTACGCAACCGATGAAAAGATATTGCCGCTCGACTGATTCGGAGTGAGACCTCTGCTGATAGACTGGAGCCGGTCATAAGCACACTGCCCAGGTATGGGAAACTCTCCACTCTCTCCACAACTGCCCCATCACCAATTGGGAGTTGTGGGGGTGGAGTGTCCGATGGTACAAAATACCCAGGCAGGTGCTTAGTTTTGGTGGGGCTGATGGTAAGGCCCCACCTCTTAGTGGCACGCTCCAGTCTCAGCAGCAGCGTCTTCAACTCCTCTTCTGAAAGAGCAGCTATTACCAAATCATCGGCATACATAACATGGTTGACCAATAGGGAGCCATCCCTTGATCGCACCCGGGCGTCGATCAGCCTCCCATTATATCTGTACCAAATGGAAATTCCCCCGGTACAGCTATTGAAGGCTTCACGAGCTACGCGGTCAAAATAGATGTTAAATAATGTGGGAGCCAGAGGACATCCCTGTCGCACCCCAAGGTGTACAGGGAAAGGCTCCGACTCCTGGCCACGTAGTTTTACCCGGGCCCGCTCACCATCATGAAGGTCCTTAATGATCGTGAGCAGAGGGTCAGGGACTCCGAAAGCACGAAGAACAACCCAGAGCCCAGTCCTACTGATGGTATCATAGGCCTTGACCAGGTCAATAAAGCAGAGATGTAGGTCTTTTTGGAATTCCCTACACCTCTGCTGTAGCAGACGGACAGAAAATATGGCATCTGTGCAGGACCGCCCTTTCCTGAAACCGCATTGGGGCTCCGCAAGCCTCTCCTCAGCGTGCCTAGCAAGGCGATGTTGAATAATCCTTGCCAGGACCTTACCCGGCACACTGAGGAGTGAGATGCCCCTGTAGTTGTTACAGTCGGTACGGTCCCCCTTCTTAAAGAGGGGGACCACCAGGGCATCCTTCCAGTCCTGCGGAACCCGTCCAGTGGTCCAGACTGTTGTTATGATGTCATATAGGGCAGTCTGTGCACAAACGCCACCCTCCCTCAGCATTTCGCTTGGGAGATCATCTCTGCCCGATGCCTTCCCTGGTCTCAGACTCCGGATCGCCCTCAGTACTTCCTCAACAGCTGGCACCTCAGCCAGCCACTCACAGGGGGTGACCTCTTCCAATATTTGAGGCACCGCAGCCTCAGCAGGGTTATCACCACTTTGTGCCATGATGTTTTCCTGGCTGAGAGAATTTCCCTCCCCCAGGACCTCACAGAAATGCTCAGCAAATCTGCAAACCTGTTCCTGGGGGTCGGAGATTGGATCACCGTTTTTTCCTCTAATGATGGTAATAGGTGTGGCGCTGCAGGTTACTTTTTTGATGGAGTTAAATAGTGATTTGTGATCACGGGCCACTGAGGCAGACTCCATCTCCTCAGCAACCCGCGACCACCACCCATCCTTACAGCGCCTTACGGCTCTCCGAACTTCTGAGCGAAGGCTGCGGTAAACCTCCTCATTCTCTGCCGTGGGATGCTGTAGGCGATGAGAGTGGGCCTGACGCTTTTTCTCAATTAACCTGAACACCTCCTCTGTCAGCCAGGGTTTCTGGGGAGGTCTGGACCGCGTACCCAAAGCAGCCATTGCAGCTGCATGAGTCACAGTCTTAAACCTCGCCCATTTACCCTCGACATCAGGTGGAGTGGGGGACGATGCCAACCCCAGCTGCAAGCGATGATGAAATTCTCGCTTGCAACTTTCATCAGCTAACTGAGACCAGGCCACTTTTGGTTGGAATGGGATCCTGGGTGTACACCCACCACCGGAGTGGAAGAAAGGCAGGCGCATCTTACAGATGACTAGTCGATGGTCAGAGGACAGATCAGCTCCACGGTAGGTCCTGGTGTCAAGGACATGGGTTCGCATCCGCTGGTCCGTCACTATGTAGTCCAGCAGATGTTCTTGCTTGGACCCGGCATGTATCCATGATGTTGTGTGGATGCGCCGATGCCGGAAGAGCATGTTGGTAATTACAAGCCCATGGGCTGCACAAAAATCTAGCAGCCTCCTACCGTTATTATTGAGCTGATCTGGCCCATGCCTTCCAATCACTCCAGACCAGGTACCAGCATCATGACCAACTCGGGCATTGAAGTCACCCAACAAGATGACTCTGTCCCGAGTGGCCACTTTAGCCAGCACCTGTGACAGGAGGTCATAGAAAGAGTCTGACTCATCGGCTTTGCCTGCATCCCTCCACGGATGTTCGTCTTCGGTGGGGGCATAAGTAACCACGACCACCACTCCTCGCCTCTGGTTGATGGGAAGGCGAGCCCAAAGTATCCTGGGGCTTACAGCTTCCCACACCTCACCGCCACGCTCCCACGCCCCCTTCATTCTTTTGTTCAGAAGAAGAGCCACACCCTGTTGTTTGGCAGTCTCCTGCCCCGAGTAGAGGACTGTCCACCCCTCATGGTGGCAGGAGCCAGAACCGGTCCACCGGACCTCCTGAATGCCACAGAGATCCAGGCGGTACCGGTCCATCTCCCGACAGAGGAGTGGCAGCCTCTCCTCCGCAGTGAGCGTTCGAACATTCCACGTGGCCATCCGCAATGGTTTTTTGTTGTTTCTGGAGGAGCCCCGAGGGTGAAGATTCAATCTCCTGGCTCCGCCAAATGGGGTTTGGCCAGGAGACGTCATAAAAGCCTGACCCCCCGGGGCCTCCGGCACAAGCTTATTTGTTACAGGTTTATGTTTAATTCGTGGTTTAGTGGTGGTTAATTGAAGGTGGAGGGGTTACCAGCCCCTCACACCCGTCCAGAGCCCCCGTTTAGCCACTGTGGTGGTCATAGACGCCATGAGGGGAGAGGCCAATGGGCATTGGCCCTCCCCCCACAGCACTGCCCACGACAGTGTTGCCCGTCCGGCACCGCGAGGAGGTAGGAGGTTGATAATTGGTTCTTTACCCTTCTATCTGGCAACAAAACTGACACCTTTTTGCAAGGAGTCATGTTTGCATAGACCGCAATACCTGCAGTCATAAATACAAACAAAAGACATAACTCTGATAATGTGCACTGTCCTTGACAGTCCTTGACAGTGCACATTATCAGAGTTATGTCTTTTGTTTGTATTTATGACTGCAGGTATTGCGGTCTATGCAAACATGACTCCTTGCAAAAAGGTGTCAGTTTTGTTGCCAGATAGAAGGGTAAAGAACCAATTATCATATTTTTACTGGCAAATGAGGTCCCCATAGAGGTAGGAGGTTGTTTTGCCGGACTTATACATACACACATACACACACATACATACACACACATACATACACACACATACATACACATACATACACACACTCACATACACACACATACATACACACACATACACACACATACATACACACATACACACACATACATACACACACATACACACACATACACACACATACATACACACATACACACACACACATACACACACACACACGCACCCCACGGCTGGATGCAGCGCTCACACCGTGGGGTCAGTCACGCACACACACACACATATATACAAACATATACATATACACAGATACACACAGATACACACACAGATACACACACAGATACACACACATACACACACACATACATACACATACACACACACGTACACACAGATACACACACACACAGATACACACACGGATACACACACACAGATACACACACACACCGAGATACGCATACACACACGGATACACACACACGGATACACACACACGGATACACACATACATACATACACACATACATACACACATACATACACGCATACATACACACACATACACACACATACACACACATACATACACACACACATACACACACGTAGATACGCATACACACACAGATACACACACACAGATACACACACACAGATACAAAAGATCCCCCGCATAGCCTGAACAGACTGTTGGGGCAAGTGCTGTTAGCGAGCACCTGTGAAGGCCGGAACGGCACACGAGAGGGTGGGTGGGTGGCCCGCACCACGCCCGACCGCCTTTGTCTCCCCAGGGGCGATGATTTTACACACCGCACCAGGTACGCATTTCAGGCTGAGTCGACCTAGGAGAGGTCCAGGACCGGTTCAGATAATCGTCACTGGTTTTGGTCGTGAGCGGGAATTTAACTCTGGCGGCTGGGTTCGTAGCGCAGCACGCTAACCGCTACACTACCGCTCCCCACGCAGATACACAGTTACACACACACACGTGGTTTACACACACACGCAGATACATAGACAAAGATCCCCCGTATAGCCTTAACAGACTGTAGGGGCATGTGCTGTTAGTGAGCACCTATGAAGGCCGGAACGGTACACGAGGGGGTGGGTGGCCAGCACCACGCCCGGCCGCCTTTGTCTCCCCAGTGGCGATGTTTACACACCGTACCAGGTACTCATTTGAGGCCGAGTCGACCTTGGGGAGGCCCAGGACCGGTTCAGATAATTGTCACTGGTGTTGGCCGTGAGCGGGAATCGAACCCGGGTCACCGGGTTCGTAGCGCAGCGTAGCGCTAACCACTACACCACCGCTCCCCACACACGCAGATACACAGTTACACACACACACACGTGGTGACACATACACACAGATACACACGCAGACACACGGTTACACACACACGTGGTGACACACACACGTGGTGACACACACACACATGTACACACGCACGCAGTGAGTGGCGCGTGCCGCCCCCCCGTGTGTGCGTGAGTAGAAGGCGAGTCTCCGCGAGGCCCCCCACTACCGCGTGCTCGTGTCGGGGAGGAACGCCGTCACCTACGTGCCGCAGGACGACATCGCCGTCCTCAACGGGGTGCAGGTGAGCGCCACGGCGTCACCACCACGGCGTCACCACCACCACGTCACCACGACGACGTCACCACCACGACGTCAACACGACGTCGCCACCACGACGTCACCAGGACGACGTCACCACCACGACGTCACCAGGACGACGTCACCACCACGACGTCACCACCACGACGTCACCACCACGACGTCACCACCACGACGTCACCACCACGACGTCACCATCACGTCACCACCACGACGTCACCACCACGACGTCACCATCACGTCACCACCACGACGTCACCACCACGACGTCACCATCACGTCACCACCACGACGTCACCACCACGACGTCACCACGACGTCACCACCACGACGTCACCACCACGTCACCACCACGACGTCACCACCACGACGTCACCATCACGTCACCACCACGACGTCACCACCACGACGTCACCATCACGTCACCACCACGACGTCACCACCACGACGTCACCATCACGTCACCACCACGACGTCACCACGACGTCACCACCACGACGACGTCACCACGACGTCACATGACGTCACCACGACGTCACCTGCGTGACCCAGCGGGGCCAACGAGCGGGCGCCTCCTTCCGTTATGATGGGGGGGGGGGCGGCCCAATTGTGGGCCGGCGTCCCATTCGCCGTTTGGCGCTTCCGGCGTCTCTCCCCACGCCCCCCACACCCCCCCCACCCCCCGCACCCCCCCCCACCCCCCGCACCCCCCACACCCCCAACTCCCCACACTCCCCCCCACGCCCCCCCACTACCCACCCACTCCCCCCACACCCCCCGCACCGCCGTGCGTGGCGTCAGGTCACCCACGAGGAGCTGGCCGTCTACTTCCGGGCGTTCGACGGCGCGCAGTACGTCGCGAGGCCCTGGCTGCGCGAGCTCTACCCCCACGACTGATGGCGGCGGTGACGACGACCGAGACGACGGCGGTGACACCAAACACCGTTGCCGTGGCGCGGTGAACCTGCAGCGGACCGGAGTTGCGTGCAGACACATGGGATTTGTCCGTCGTGCTGGATAGATGTTAACTACCTCGCCCGGTATGCAGGTGGTCGTGGGTTCCATCCCGACCCCGACTCCTGCTGTATATTTTGAGTTTGCGTCTCTCTCTCTCTCACCGTGGTGGCCTGGATTTGTTTTCTCCGGGTGCTGTGCTCCGGTTATTCTCTCCGCATTTAGAATCGACCGACGTCACGCGTTGTAGAGCTTTGGGCTGTCAGTTCCCAACGTGACGACGACGATGACGAAGCCGCCAACTTCTTTGAGCCATCATTTGTGGTGGCCAGGTCGCTTTGCGAACAAGAGCCTTACAGTGGCGTGCGCTCTCCACACGCGAGGTGGGGGGGGTCACGACGCTGGCGGATGCAGAAATAATACCGGTGCGGAAAAATGGGGTTCACGTTCCTGGTACGAGTGAACATTGGGGTGGGAATAATGGGAAATGTTTAATAGCAATGGATTCCAATAAATAATACATTGTAAAGAACGACGTGGTTTGTGTTTTTTTACATTTCATTCGATGGCCAGGTCGCTTCTGTTAAAAGGATCTTAGACGGCTCAAGCGAGTCCTCGCCTGTCCAAACGACCCAAACAAGCAAACAAACAGAAATGCGCCACCACCACCGCCACCACCGCCATCGCCACAGCCACCACTGCCACCACCGCCACCACCGTCACCACCGCACCCCCCGTGCAGCCTGTAACAGACTTGGGGCAAAGTGCTGCTGGCAAGTAGTTTGCGGCGCCTACGAAGGCCGGCACAGCACACGACGGGGGTGGGTGATCAGCACGACGCCCGGCCGCCTTTGTCTCCCTACGAGTGGCGATGTTTACACACACTGCACCAGGTACTCATTTGAGGCTGAGTCGACCTAGGGGAAGCCCAGGACCGGTTCAGATAATCGTCACCGGTGTTGGCCGTGAGCGGGAATCGAACTCGGGTCGCCGGGTTCGTAGCGCGGCGTAGCGCTAACCATTGCACCACCGCTCACGCGCACACAACAACACCACGCACGCACTCGTATTAGCTGTTTGTGAGCTGCTGCAGTGTAGCGGTGGTTGAACAGTGTGGTGTTGGTTTTCAAACAGTGTGGTGGTGGTGGTTGAACAGTGCGGTGGTGGTTCTGGTGGTGGTTTTCAAACACCGTGTGGTGGTGGTGGTTGAACAGTGCGGTGGTGTTTACACTGAGACCTCTTTTACCAGTGGCAAAATATAGTAGGGTTTTAGTGACGTTTTACCCTTTTAAACTGGTACAAAAACTGACACCTTTATACAAGGCATCATGTTTGCAATAACCACAACACAAGTAGTCAAAAAAGCAAACAAAAAGAAGCAACTCTGATGATGATAATGATATGCACTGTCCTTGAAGTTGATTGGTCCACACCCGAGACAGCTTTTCTTAGAGCCGAGTCTCCATTGGTGTTGGACCAGATGACACCAGAAGGCGTACAACTCAAACATCATTATCAGAGTTGCTTCTTTTTGTTTGCATTTTTGACTACTTGTGTTGTGGTTATTGCAAACATGATGCCTTGTATAAAGGTGTCAGTTTTGTACCAGTTTAAAGGGTAAAAACCTACTACTAGTGCGGTGGTGGTTTTGGTGGTGGTTTTCAAACACAGTGTGGTGGTGGTGGTTGGTCAGACGGAACGGTGCGCGTCCGGTCGAGTCCGACACCTCCCCAGGGGTGGAGGACTTCGGTGAGGACTCCGGTGAGGACTCGGTGAGCGACACGACAGCCAAACTCTCGTTTTGAGTCCAACGAGTAAATGCACAACAAAGATAAAGATCCCCCGTGTAGCCTTAACAGACTGTAGGGGCAAGTGCTGTTAGCGAGCACCTATGAAGGCCGGCACGGCACACGAGGGGGTGGGTGGCCAGCACGACGCCCGGCCGCCTTTGTCTCCCCAGTGGCGATGTTTACACACCGCACCAGGTACTCATTTGGAGCCTAGTCGACTTAGGGGAGGCCCACGACCGGTTGAGATAATCGTCACTGGGCGTTGGTCATGAGCGGGAATCGAACTCGGGTCGCCAGGTCCGTAGCACTAACCTACGAACAACTGCGATTCGCCACTAAGTGGCGGCGACTTCACCACGGCGCTTGTGCCAGGCTAGGTGCATAGTTGAGGCCACGTGAAGTGTCGAACGCCCGCTTGCAGGAGGTCACGGGGCAGACCCAGCAGGTAGCACGGGTCGACTGACTGAGATGACAGACGACTGGCTGATGCACCACCTGTGCCCCCTACTGTGCCAACTTGCTGTGCTTTAGCCACCCGGCGCTCCGTTCGTTGTTGTGAGCGTCGCTCCTCCGCCCTCCGTTGTTGCTGGAAGGCGACTGCCTCCAACTGCCCAGTAGCAGCGTCCTTCACGAGCCTCCCCCACAGAGGCCGATCTTGGCACCGCTGGTACCACTCATCGGCGAGTCCACTCAGCTCCACATTCTCTTGCACCACATCACACGCGCGCGCAGGCAGTGAACCTGAGTTACGTTAGCTATGAGATGTTAACTACCTCGCCCGGTATACAGGAGGTCGTGGGTTCGATCCTCACCCTGATGCCTGCTGTTGTATATTTGGAGTTTGCGTGTCTCTCTCCCCGTGGTCGCGTGAATTTTGTCTCTGGGTCCTCATGTTTTTCACTCCACACTTAGAATCAACATCACGCGTTGAGAGTGTTTGGAGAGAGACACGCAAACTCAAAATATACAGCAGCAGGCGTCAGGGTCGGGATCGAACCCACGACCCCCTGTATACCAGGCGAGGTGGTTAACATCTCCTAGCCACCGTGATGATGATGAGAGAGACACGCAAACTCCAAATATACAGCAGCAGGCGTCAGGGTCGGGTCGAACCCACGACCTCCCATATACCAGGCGAGGGAGTCAACATCTTTAGAAGGCTGTGTGGCTGATGGGATGTGTAAAAAAAAGGACGGACAGATACAGGGAGTACTTGCAGATCGTTTAATATAATTTTAGTGAGGTATCTATAAACATCATCCTGCGTATTCGACGCTAATGTTAGATGATTACATATTAAACGAAAAACATTGAAAATTAATGCCGATTACATTCGAGTTACAATTTGCCGATTACATTTCGTCTAAATATGGTCACACGGCAAACGGAGGTGGGGAAGGCTGAGTGGTCGCGGTGCAGCATCTCGGCGCAGCGTCTCGGCGCAGCGTGCCGTCAAGTTGACCGGCGTGGTGAAGTATGGGCAAAGGACCCCCCGCCTGGCCACGCGAGCCGCGATGCCCTGGGGGGCCGCCGCTCCCTCCGCGTCTCTCCGGGTACAAATCCCCCGCTGGTGTTTTATACTCCGCAACCCCCCCCTCCCCCCACCACCGATCGCTCGCGAATTAATTACTTCACTTGACGATCACCCCCCCCCCCGCTCCGCCCCTTGAGCTGCTTGGGGGTCCTACGGCTTTGCTTGGAGTCTGCTCCCGCACCGCTACCGCGCCGCAGTCGCACGCAGGCCTGGCTCGAGCGCCACCATCACGACGACGGCGATGATGATGGCGATGATGATGATGATGGCGATGATGATGGCGATGATGATGATGTTGGCGATGATCATGGCGATGATGATGGCGATGATGATGGCGATGATGATGGCGATGATGATGGCGATGATGATGGCGATGATGATGATGGCAATGGCGATGATGATGGTGATGACGATGACGATGATGATGATGGCGATGATGACAACGACGGCGATGACAACGACCTAGGGTACGGTGGGGCTAACCCGTGCGCCATCTTCCCGTGTGCCGCCTGTAGAGAGCGGGTGGTGCCGTGGTGGTGCCGTGGTGGTGCCGTGGTGGTGCCGTGGTGGTGCCGTGGTGGTGCCGTGGAGGTGCCGTGGAGGTGCCGTGGTGGTGCCGTGGTGGTGCCGTGGTGGTGCCGTGGTGGTGCCGTGGAGGTGCCGTGGTGGTGCCGTGGAGGTGCCGTGGTGGTGCCGTGGTGGTGCCGTGGAGGTGCCGTGGTGGTGCGGTGGTGCGGTGGTGGTGCCGTGGTGGTGCCGTGGTGGTGCGGTGGTGGTGCAGTGGTGCCGTGGTGGTGTTGTGGTGCTGTGGTGCCGTGGTGCTGTGGCGGCACTGCGGCTCCTAGCGGAGCACACGGAACACCGGGTCCCCCACGTGCATCACGCCCAGGCGCTCGATGGTGTAGTTCACCCCGAAGAAGGGCGCCGTGCCCCACACGTGCTTCTCCGTGGGCTCGCACAGACGGTAGCTGCAAAGACAAAGACCCCCCCCCCCCCACGTGGTACGGCCTCCGCGGGAACTCTCGGCGCCTATGGCCGGTGACGAGGCTGGCGCGGGGAAAATAAACAAAAATCGTCTCCACGCATTTTGTGAACAAGTCACGAAACGCGTGCCGGGCCGCCAAACCGGGGGGTCTATAGAGTAGCGAGATGACGTCGCCGTTGCGACGATGTCGTTGCCATGACGTTGTTGCGACGACGTCATTGCGACGTTGTTGCCATGACGTCATTGCGACGTTGTTGTAATGTCGTTGCCACGACGTTGTTGCGACGTTGCGACAACATCGTGGCGACGACGTTGGCAAGGCACACGAGGCGGCAAGTGGCCAGCGCCACACCACACGCGCCCGGCCGCCTCTTGTCTCCCTACCAACGGCAACGTTTACACATCGCGGCAGGCGCTCGTATGAGGCCGAGCCGACCTAGGGGAAGACTGGCACGGCTCCTCGTCGTCGTCGTCATCGCGGGGACGTTTACAGCCGCAAAATAACTCCGCGAACGAGTGACGTCGATGGTGTTTTCTTTGAAGCTATCGACGCGACTTTACCGAAAGAACCAAAGAATGTGAATTCCTGCAGTCACGAAAGCTTTGAGTCGATATTTAAAACAACAGTTTTATAATTATGGGACCTCCTTTGCCAGTACCAAAATATGCGAATAGGGTTTTTCCCCTTTTTGCAAAAAAAAGGGGGAAAACCCTATTAGTATATGTTGGTACTGGCAAAGGAGGTCCCATGATGTAGCTGCTCACCCCGAGCTCTCATTACTCTGGTAGTGCGTTGTCTTTGAACTGTGCGCCTTTTGGCATCATCTGGTCGAACACCGTATGAGACTAAAGAAAGCTGTCTCTGGTGTGGACCAATCAGTTTCAAAGACAACGCATAAATTATCAAAGTGTTGTTTTTTGTTTGCATTTGACTGCAAGTATTGTGGTTATTGTAAGCATGATTCCTTGCAAAAGGTGTCAGTTTTGTTGCGAGAAAAATGGGGAAAACCTATTAGTATAACAGTTTTTATAAGTTTTGAATAGCACGATACAATGTCACTCGAGGCAGGGGAGGCGGCTGAGCTGGTACCTGCGCAGAGTCTCAAGTGGCTCCTTGCCGTCCTTGACTCCTGTGTCCGGGTCAACAGTGGTGAGCACACACCTGCCGAAGATAAACACTCACCACCAGATCCTCACTCACTCACTCACACTCACCACCACCATCTCCTACTCACTCACCACCACCAGCTCCTCACTCACTCACTCACCACCACCACCTCACTCACACTCACCACCACCAGCTCCTCACTCACACTCACCACCAGCTCCTCACTCACTCACTCACCACCACCTCACTCACTCACTCACCACCACCACCTCACTCACTCACACTCACCACCAGCTCCTCACTCACACTCACCACCAGCTCCTCACTCACTCACTCACCACCACCTCACTCACTCACTCACCACCACCTCACTCACTCACTCACCCACACTCACCACCACCACCTCACTCACTCGCAGGGAGTGTACCGTGGGGGTCGTGACAGGGAGTGTACCATGGGGGTGGTGACAGGGAGTGTACCGTGGGGTCGAGGCAGGGAGTGTACCGTGGGGGTCGAGGCAGGGAGTGTACCGTGGGGGTGGTGACAGGGAGTGTACCGTGGGGGTGGTGACAGGGAGTGTACCGTGGGGGTGGTGGCAGGGAGTGTACCGCGGGGGTGGTGGCAGGGAGTGTACCGTGGGGGTGGTGACAGGGAGTGTACCGCGGGGGTGGTGGCAGGGAGTGTACCGCGGGGGTGGTGGCAGGGAGTGTACCGTGGGGGTCGTGGCAGGGAGTGTACCGTGGGGGTGGTGGCAGGGAGTGTATCGTGGGGTGGTGGCAGGGAGTGTACCGTGGGGGTGGTGACAGGGAGTGTACCGTGGGGGTCGAGGCAGGGAGTGTACCGTGGGGTGGTGACAGGGAGTGTACCGTGGGGGTCGTGACAGGGAGTGTACCGTGGGGGTGGTGACAGGGAGTGTACCGTGGGGGTCGAGGCAGGGAGTGTACCGTGGGGGTCGTGACAGGGAGTGTACCGTGGGGGTCGAGGCAGGGAGTGTACCGTGGGGTGGTGACAGGGAGTGTACCGTGGGGGTCGAGGCAGGGAGTGTACCGTGGGGGTGGTGACAGGGAGTGTACCGTGGGGGTCGAGGCAGGGAGTGTACCGTGGGGGTCGTGACAGGGAGTGTACCGTGGGGGTCGAGGCAGGGAGTGTACCGTGGGGTGGTGACAGGGAGTGTACCGTGGGGGTGGTGACAGGGAGTGTACCGTGGGGGTCGAGGCAGGGAGTGTACCGTGGGGTGGTGACAGGGAGTGTACCGTGGGGGTGGTGACAGGGAGTGTACCGTGGGGGTGGTGGCAGGGAGTGTACCGTGGGGGTCGAGGCAGGGAGTGTACCGTGGGGGTCGTGACAGGGAGTGTACCGTGGGGGTCGTGACAGGGAGTTTACCCTGGGGTGGTGACAGGGCGTGTACCGTGGGGGTCGTGACAGGGAGTGTACCGTGGGGGTGGTGACAGGGAGTGTACCGTGGGGGTGGTGGCAGGGAGTGTACCGTGGGGGTGGTGGCAGGGAGTGTACCGTGGGGGTCGTGACAGGGAGTGTACCGTGGGGGTGGTGACAGGGAGTGTACCGTGGGGGTGGTGACAGGGAGTGTACCGTGGGGGTGGTGGCAGGGAGTGTACCGTGGGGGTCGTGACAGGGAGTGTACCGTGGGGGTGGTGACAGGGAGTGTACCGTGGGGGTGGTGGCAGGGAGTGTACCGTGGGGGTGGTGACAGGGAGTGTACCGTGGGGGTGGTGGCAGGGAGTGTACTGTGGGGGTCGTGACAGGGAGTGTACCGTGGGGGTCAAGGCAGGGAGTGTACCGTGGGGGTGGTGACAGGGAGTGTACCGTGGGGGTGGTGACAGGGAGTGTACCGTGGGGGTCAAGGCAGGGAGTGTACCGTGGGGGTGGTGACAGGGAGTGTACCGTGGGGGTGGTGACAGGGAGTGTACCGTGGGGGTCGTGACAGGGAGTGTACCGTGGGGGTCAAGGCAGGGAGTGTACCGTGGGGGTGGTGACAGGGAGTGTACCGTGGGGGTGGTGACAGGGAGTGTACCGTGGGGGTCGTGACAGGGAGTGTACCGTGGGGGTCGTGACAGGGAGTGTACCGTGGGGGTCGTGACAGGGAGTGTACCGTGGGGGTGGTGACAGGGAGTGTACCGTGGGGGTGGTGACAGGGAGTGTACCGTGGGGGTGGTGACAGGGAGTGTACCGTGGGGGTGGTGACAGGGAGTGTACCGTGGGGGTGGTGGCAGGGAATGTACCGTGGGGGTGGTGACAGGGAGTGTACCGTGGGGGTGGTGACAGGGAGTGTACCGTGGGGGTGGTGGCAGGGAATGTACCGTGGGGGTGGTGACAGGGAGTGTACCGTGGGGGTCGTGACAGGGAGTGTACCGTGGGGGTCAAGGCAGGGAGTGTACCGTGGGGGTCGTGACAGGGAGTGTACCGTGGGGGTGGTGACAGGGAGTGTACCTTGGGGGTGGTGACAGGGAGTGTACCGTGGGGGTCGTGACAGGGAGTGTACCGTGGGGGTCAAGGCAGGGAGTGTACCGTGGGGTCGTGACAGGGAGTGTACCGTGGGGTGGTGACAGGGAGTGTACCGTGGAGGTCAAGGCAGGGAGTGTACCGTACCGGTCGCATCGCTTCAGCTTCCTCAGCCGCACCGTGCCGATCTCCAGCCGCTCCCACGAGTCCTGCACACACGACGACACCGCGACACGTCAACACAACGTCAACACGTCAACACAACGTCAACACAACGTCAACACAACGACGACACCGCGACACGACAACACAATGACACGTCAACACGACACGTCAACACAACAACACGATGACACTACGACATGACAACACGTTGACACGACAACACAACATCAACACGTCAACACGACAACACGTTGACATGACCACACGACGCGTCAACAAGATAACATGACGACACGTCAACACGTCAACACGACAACACGTTGACATGACCACACGACGCGTCAACACAACGTCGACACGACAACACGACGACACGTCGACACTACGACACCACAAGAAAACGTCGACACTACGACACTACGTCAACAACACCACAACAAAACGTCGACACTATGTCAACAACACCACAACAAAACGTCGACACTACGTCAACAACACCACAACAAAACGTCGACACTACGTCAACAACACCACAACAAAACGTCGACACTACGTCAACAACACCACAACAAAACGTCGACACTACGTCAACAACACCACAACAAAACGTCAACACTACGTCAACAACACCACAACAAAACGTCAACACTACGACACGTTGACATGACGACACGACACGTCAACACAACGTCGACACGTCGATACTACGACACGTTGACATGACAACACTACGACACGTTCACACTACGACATGACGATACTACGACACTACGACACTACGACATTCACGTTCTGCTCGTGTGGGCGTAACGTTGAACTTCTGGAGGGGGGGGTGGGTGGGGGGGGGGGGGTTACGTGCAGGGCGCGACGAAGGTCACCTCGTCGAACGCCGCACAATCGCTCACGACGATGTTGGGCCGGAAGTTGCGAAGGGAGACATTTTTTTTCTCCAGCTTGGCGTGGAGGTCTTCCATCGACGCCTCGGTCATCAGCATGTAGGGGCTGTAGTCTGAGTAGGCCACCTGGGGGGGGGGGCGGGGAGTGAGAAGGCGGGGGGAGTGGGTGAGTGTGTGGGTGAGTGACTATTTGAGTGGGTGAGTGACTGTGTGAGTGTGTGGGTGACTGTGTGAGTGTGTGGGTGAGTGTGTGGGTGAGTGACTGTGTGAGTGGGTGAATGACTGTGTGAGTGGGTGAGTGACTGTGTGAGTGGGTGAGTGGCTGTGTGAGTGGGTGAGTGACTGTGTGAGTGGGTGAGTGACTGTGTGAGTGGGTGAGTGACTATGTGAGTAGGTGAGTGACTGTGTGAGTGGGTGAGTGACTGTGTGAGTGGGTGAGTGACTGTGTGAGTGGGTGAGTGACTATGTGAGTGGGTGAGTGACTAAGTGAGTGGGTGAGTGACTGTGTGAGTGGGTGAGTGACTATGTGAGTGGGTGAGTGACTGTGTGAGTGGGTGAGTGACTATGTGAGTGGGTGAGTGACTATGTGAGTGTGTGGGTGACTGCGTGAGTGGGTGAGTGACTGTTTGAGTGTCTGGGTGACTGTGTGAGTGGGTGAGTGATTGTGTGAGTAGGTGAGTGACTGTGAGTGTGTGGGTGACTGTGTGAGTGGGCGAGTGATTGTGTGAGTAGGTGAGTGACTATGTGAGTAGGTGAGTGACTGTGTGAGTGGGTGAGTGACTGTGTGAGTGGCTGTGTGAGTGGGTGAGTGACTGTGTGAGTGGGTGAGTGACTGTATAAGTGACTGTGAGTGGGTGAGTGACTGTGAGTCTATGTGTGTACGTTGAACTTCTTTAGCACCGTACATACCCAAACACGCTAATCGGAGGATGGGCGAGTGTAGCTACGTACGGTGCGAAAGAAGTTCAACGTACACACACAGTATGCATTCACACGTACACATTCACACGTACATATATACACAAAGCTAACCGTGTCCGTATTACATTTACAGTTCCCCCGCGCGATATCCGCGGCGTTTGTGTCCGTTCCGATTTCCATTTGCTTCATTGCTGCAATCGATTTTAATTTCTTACGTTTGGTCACTCACACAAACGAGACTCTACCTTGTTGTTGATGTCGTTTTTGCCGTCGTCATCACGGTGAAAAAATTAACCCGTAAAAACAAAGTTTTTCACTATAAATCCTTTATATGCGTGGCGGCTAGAGTCCTCTCGTCCTCTGGCTTGAGATGGCTTGCACCTATGGGTCAGATGATTGCCTGCCAGCATTAAGCAATTGGTAATTAAATATAATTTTTTTTTTCCTAAAAAGTGTAACATTTTGGAAAAAAATTTTCACGAAAATAAATTGTCACGCACAACGAGTCTGTGTGCAAAATGTCAGCTCGATTGGATCACGGGAAGTGGGTCAAAAAACGACCGAAAGATTTGCACGGTCGTAAGCGCGCAAAGCAGCAAGCGAACTTAATATAAAGGATTTAAAAAGGAAAACTAGCGGCCTAACGGTCAACTGACAACCGACGCCGAGCAAACCCCAGGAGGGGGGAGGGACCTTGTCGGCGGGGGTGTGGGCGATGAGGGGGATGCACGGCGCGGACATCCGGAGCAGCTGCCGGGGCTCCATGCCGTCCTCAAAGTGGACGAGGCGGAGGGGGACGGCGCTCGCCAGGAACGCCGTGAACCAGGCCGCAGCCTCGTCGCCACAGTCACGGCCAGGCACGTCCATGCCAAACACCCTGCACGCCACGACACGTCACGCCGAGTCACGTGACGTCACGTCACGCCAAGTCACGTGACGTCACGTCACGCCAAGTCACGTGACGTCACGTCATGTGACGACACGCCACGACACGTCACATCACGTCACGGACATGTCACGTCACGTCACATCACTACACGTCACGTCAAGTCAAGTCACGTGACGACACGACACGCTACGGACATGTCACGTCACGCCTAGACACATCAAGCCACGATACGACACGTGACGACACGCCACGTCACGTCACGTCGCGTCACGCCACATCGCGCCGCCCCCCAGCGGTCGATCCTCCCACAGAGCCCCCCGGAGAGCGAGCACGGGACCTGCATGTGCGGACGGGGTTGGTGGGCGGCAGCGAGATGGGCACGGCCAGGGCGGCGGCAACGCCGGGCACGGTGAAGCGCAGGAGGCCGGCGGCGGCGGAGTCCCACGAGACCTCGACCAGCACGAGGCGCGGCTCCTGGCGAGCCGTCACCTGGGCGCCGCTCTCCTCCGTCACCACGAGCCAATGCCTGGGGTGGCACGGACCGATGCGGGGGAGAGCGGGGACGGGACATGGGAGGGGAGAGAGAGGCGGGAGGGGAGAGGGAGGGGAGAGAGACAGGAGAGGGAGGAGGGAGGGAGAGAGACGTGTTTATCAAGCAGAGCTTCTCGCCTTACCTCTGTGTCGACTCCGGACTCGAGCTGTCGAGGTTTCTTTTATTGCACGTGATGTAGCTTCGGACCACGTCGTCATGAGATAATGCCGACGTGGAGATCGAATGACCGAGCAGACAGTGACGACGTGAAGACAGCGACGATGTGAAGACAGCAAAATGGGGAATTTTGCAACCAAGGACCTCTGGGGAATTTCCCAACCAAGATCCTCCAGACTTGCTGGCACCTTGTTTTCGCATCCAGCCTCGCTGACACCCTGTCTTCACATCAAGACTTGCTGACAGTCTTTACATCACCCCTCCCCCCCCTCTTAAAAAATTAGCCGTCTCGGCTAATAACCATTTTTAGTGGAACCGTGCGTTACAGTGAGGAACTTTGTAATCTGACGTGTGACGATCGCGAGTTCCACAGGCTATTTTAAGGGGTGATTAGTGTGACTCCACTCACCCAGTAACAACAACAATAACCCATTTAACAACAAACCATCTGCACGCAGCTCAAGGGAGGGGATCTTGAATGTCCCTGGGTTTGTTTTGGGCCTACTAGCGCATCCTTGCGCACTTTGGGCGGGTTCTCAATGCCGGTCCCTTGTCTTTTCTGGAATCTTGTGCCGTCCCGGGCGTTAAGGTTTCGCCCAACCGCCTTGGGGGGGGGGGGGGTGGGCCCATGGGCCAATCCCCGGCCTCCCTTGACGAATTCGAGCGGGCTCCCGAGTCAGGTCCCTTGCATGTGACGGATTCTTGGGACACCCCGGGCTTGACAGGCGTGGAAACTGTGGGCGGCACAACAACTTTCCTGCGGCGTGCAGTTTCCGTAGCCGAGCGCCCCGGCACGTCGGACACACCAGACATCGGCCGTACAGGACATGGGGATGAGCTGTCTGGGTGTGGATGTTTGAGACATGACGGGTGGATAAACCAGCGGCGACGCCCTGTCTGTTTTAGTACACACTGCGGCCGTTTCACCTCTATGACCTCCACTGGACCTTGCCATGGGCGGTGCAACTTAGGGGACGTACCCGGCGGTACCTGTCGGCAATGCAACCTTCCCTTTGTCCCCGACCGCCCATGGAAGCACGCGTTCCCGTCGCCCTGTGTTCTTTTCATTAGCGGCTTGCGCTCTGGCGGTATTTTCTCTGGCTGCCTCGTGTTCCTCTGACACACGACTCAGCGTAACGTGCAGTGGCCCGGAAATTGATGTTTTCTTCTTCTTCCCTGAGGCCGTACCCAATTGAGTTTCTATGGTTGGCTCATTTTCCCAGCCATACATAATAAAAAACGGGGAAAATCCCATAGAGGCGTGTGGGGCCATTCGATATGCTGCGAGAACTCCCGGAACATGCAAGTCCCAATCTGTTTGTGCCTCATTTACCACTTGGCAGAGCATAGATGTTATAGTTCTGTGCAAGCGTTCCACCATCCCATCCGTTTGAGGATGGTATGGTGATGTTTTAATCTTTTTCCTACCAAAGTGCCTCACACACTTCGCGCAGCAGTTTGTCGCCCCTGGTCAGTGACAAGCTGCTCAGGGGCACGCTTGTCTAAAACGTAACCGTGGAGGAATTGCCTCTGCGATGGATGCGGCTGTTCGGTCAGGCAGCGGCCAAGCCGTAGGCCAGCGGGTAAAATATTCTAGCTCAACCAATCGCCAATAGAAACTTGCTTTCCTTTTGTGTACACGGAAATGGTCCCAGGATGTCTAGTGCCACCATTTCATTGATTCGGGACACGGTGATGGATTTGTGACGGGGACTGAGATTTTTTCATTGGGGGCTTTCGGCACGCACAGTCCATGCAACCCGCCACAATATGGTGGACATCATTTTATATCCCCGGCCAATAAAAATCCCGTTGTAAGGTTAGGAGTATTTTCTGGTGGTCGAGGTGCAACAGCTTAATTTCGTATTCCGCTTGAGTTAGTTTTCCCGGCAGGGAAGTGGGGACCACTAGGCACTGATGCTGTGAGACCTCGTCCCATCTCATCAACAACACTTCTTGGAGCACAACTCGCGAGACTCCCTTAGAGGTGGGGGTTGTGGCGATTTGCTTCAGCGTGGCGCCGCAAAGTTAACAGAGAGCTGTCCTCCATTTGGAGTTGCCCCCATTCCAGCAGCGCGAGCCCCAAAGTGTTATCCGTGGGTGGAACCACCCTGGCTGGTTCTGTCTCACCCAGCGCAGCCACGACCTTTGGCAAGCCAGCTGCAAGAGGTCTACAGCGTCCCGCACCCACCCAACGCACATGCACACCGTTCTCCCGGAGGCAACCGAGATAATGCATCCGCGTCGCAGTGCCTCAAGCCCTTTCGATAGACCATGCGGAAGAAATACTCTTGCAGTATCTCTAGCCAGCGCGAGAGCTGACCCGAAGGCTGGTCCACTCGTAGGGAGTACTGCCGGGCTGCATGGTCAGTATGAATAACGAACTCCCTGCCATATAGGTATGGGCCTATACTGTTGGGTGAAGTGGAACATGGCCAAAAGTTATTGGTGGGTGACACAATACCGCTGTTCCGTTGGTGTGAGGACCCGACTTCCGTAAGCAATAACCTTCTCAACCACGCCTTTAACTTGAGAGAGAGAACAGCCCCTATGCCGACGTCACTGGCATCCGTGTCCAAAATAAACGGCAGGGAGAAATCTGGATAATCGAGGGGGCGCATTAGCAAGGCGACTTTGCAGCTTAACAAATGCAGCCTCCTCCTCCTCCTCCCCCCCATTGAAACCTATGGTTTTTGGCCATCAGGGCGTGTAAGGGTTTTGCAAATGTCGTGAACTGTGGAACAAACCGGCGGTAGTAGGAGGCAAATCCAAAGAAACTGCGCACCTCCCCGACCGTGTTGGGGATTGGCCAGTCGCGTACACATGCCGTTTTGTCTGGATCTGTAGCTATGCCAGAAGCGCTAACAATGTGGCCCAAATAAAATACCGAGGTTTGTAAGAGATTACATTTTGCAGGTTAAAATTTTAGATTAGCCAAACGAGAATATCGCTCGCAACCGTTGCAAGTGCTCCTCGAACGTGCGATCGAATACAATCACATCGTCCAAATAAACGAGGCACAAATCCCATTGCAGTCCTGCTAGGACTAACTCCATGAGCCTCTGAAATGTGGCCAGTGCCGAATGTAATCCCATGGGAAGACAATTGAAATGATACAGCCCTTGAGGTGTTCTAAATACAGTTTTTGGTTTTGATGATTCATTCAAGGGCAGCTGCCAGAACCCCGAAAGAAAATCCAGTGTGGAAAAAAAACGGGCGCCCGATAATGCGTCAAGGGAGTCGTCCATCCGTGGAAGCGGATACGAATTTTTCACCGAGACTTTGTTAAATTTTCGGAAATCTACGCAAAATCTCAGATTTCCGTCCTGCTTTTAACCAATACCACCGGTGCTCTCCAGGGGCTTGTTGATGGTGAGATTATATCCGCCACCAACATTTCCTCTACTGCCAGCTGTCTATTTTCCTTTTCGGCAGGACTCAGCCGATATGAGTTCTGTTGATTAGGAGCAGCATCACCAGTATCAATGTGATGCTGTAGCAGCGAGGTACGACCAATGTCGAATTTGCTCTTGTTAAAAATGTCAGAAAATTGTTCTAGCAATGACCGCAAATCATTGTGTTGTGCCTCGGATAGATTTTGGTTTTCCCCGCACAATTCTTCTGCCCATTTCTCATTTACCTCGGCCCTTTTATCCACTGTGCCTATTATGTCCCCCCCTGCGGACTAAGCAGCCTCGCAACCTGCAGCCGTCGCGCGAGCCAGAACCGTACCCGCCGGGACCACCACTAGTCTCCTACATTTCGTAAAAGCATCTGCGCACCCACCAGCGTAAGCCCCCGGGTCGCTGTGTTTGAAGGAGTGAGAAGCACTCCCGCCTCAGGGTCAGTCAATTTAAGGCGGCTGCGGTATCGTAGAGGAACTAACATTTGCGTGCTTGGCAGAATCTCTATTGATTCCTTTATCAAGGCCACAATGGAACCGTTCGCAACCTAACTTTTAGCCGGGGAGTTCATACAAAATAATCGCTGTCCTGATGGCATTTCGATACATCCTAAATCTGTCAGAATTTTTAGGGGCATTTTACTCAGAAAATCAGTACCCAAGAGACACGGTACTGCCAGTGCTTTGGAAATCAATACAGGTCCCGAAATTTCCAATTTCCCAAACTTTACACGAGCTTCTACCTGGCCCATGATTCCCATGCTCCCTCCGTTAGCCGCAATACGGCCATTTCTTACTGGCGTAACGCAACGGCTCCCTGATGGCAACGTGTAAAAAATTACTCGTGATATGATAGTGGCCGATGCCCCCGTGTCTATTAACACGCGTAGTTCCATCCCCTCGATGTAGCCAGCCTGCTGCCGATGTGCTGGCCGACGCCGCCACATCCCGGTGAGCCAACTTCCTCCGTTGGGTGCTCGAATGTGGCCAGCCGCCTAGAGTGGGAACTTGCTGTACCTCGTCGATGGTTAAGGGATGTGGAATGTAAATGACGTTCAAACTCTGTGATGAAGATGCGTGATGTGGTTCAGGCCGGGTGTCTGGTGTGTCACGACTTGCCTGCTGGGGCTGTGGAGTGGACGTCGGCGGAAGGTTGGATGTAGACGATGTCGCAGTTGATCGGGCGTCGCTCTGGCATCCTTGGGCGATGAGTCCAGGCTGACCACATCTGAAGCAGGTGATGGCAGGTCTCTGCTGCGGGAGGGGGGGGGGGGGGTCGCCTCCCCCCTAGGCCTCCAACCTCAAGGTAGCGGCGAGGTCTGCCCTTGTCGCTGAACCCAGCCTTGTACTGCCACAGTCCCTTTCCTCTCCAGCTCCGGATCCTGCTGCACCGTCGTGTCATTGCTCCTTGCCT